GCCCCGGAGAACGCAGGCGGCAGGACCGCGGCTCATCTGGGCGTCCCGCCGCTCCCGTCCTCTGGGGCGCGAAAAGCCCCGTTCGTAACTGTGGATCCGACATAAGTCGGATCCGCGTAACTCGGGGACTGCCTGTAGTATATCTGTTTGAGAAAACTGAGAAACAGAGCAGTTAAGTTACTTATCCAAAGCCATATAGCATGTCCGTGACAGAGGAGTACAAATTAAAGAATTGAGGTGCTCCAGGCCACTAGATCTATGTTATATCCTCTAGACAAGACCGTTCAGTTACCAAAGGACCAAGGTAAGCCTTGGATACCAGTCTAAAAGCAATTCTGGCAGTGTTGCTTGCTTCAAGAAGTCCTTTATTCCTATTGAAAAAGTATTACTATGTGACTATTTGAAGAATGATAAAAGTGGTGTAAAAGAAAGAGTCTGAATTCTCCTCCCAAGAGGCTGAAGCAGTTCTCAGTGAACCATTACATTCTGAAGTATGGCACTGATTACTTGAACTCATTGGAGTTTTTCTGGGTTATCACCGGTGTCACCAAAATAGAGTTTATACCCAAATAGCTTGGTACAAGAGAGGTATTTAAATTTTTAATAAAATAACATCCTTGTTTATATCAGTAGTTATGAAATGCCTGGAACTTTTAGCAGACTTTTTTAATCAAACACTAATATGGATATAATCAGAATGTTTTGAAAAACCATGCATCTCGTATTCCCTGAAGAAAGCTATGGCTCTGCTCACTGATAACTGATCTTGATGTGTAATAAAGGTTATTGACTTTTTAAAGAAGGTACTTTTTGGATAACTTGGCTGTTTAGAGAGGATTGATAGCCTAACATCAACTTTGAAAGACTCTTTAAAACTGAAGACTTCTTTTTTTCTTCTGTAATTGAAAGACAAAACACTAATCTTCTGACAGCACTTTTTCAAATGACTCAAAGTCTATATTTTGCCATTAACCAAAGTTCAGGAGCCTGGATTGTTTTTGTTTTAACCTGCAGACATGGGGGGTATTTGGATATTCTTGTGGCTTAGAAACTGGAAAGATGATGTTAGGCTTTGATTTTTTGATATACCGTTCTTAGAACATTCCTTTTAGAGGGCAGGATTTGGCTCCTTTTGTTTTTTATTTAATTTTTACTAAAGGGGGAAGGAAAGTATAACACCTAAACCCTTTCTCCATTAAATTTATACTCAGTAACTTTTAAATTTTCTAACCTCTTGATGGATTCCGTAGCGTTCCCTGAATGGAAAGTTGGGATAGTTTTTACTTAAATCAGCAACCTACTGATAATAGTAGAAATGTAAGATGGGCCTTAATAGGTTATTTAATCCAGTCCCCTGCACTATGCCATGATTAATTATTATCTCTAGTCCATTCTTGACAAGCGTTTATCTAACCTTTTTCTAAACCTATCCAATGATAGAAATTCCACAGTCCCGTCCCCCTAGGTAATTCATTCCAGTGCTTAACTACACTTACAGTTAAGAAGTTTTTCCTAATATATAACCTAAATCTCCATTGTTGCAATTTAAGCCCATTGCTTCTTGCCTTGTCTTCAGTGGTTACGGAAAACAATGTACAGTATCATCCTTTATAACAACCCTTTACGTACATGTCCCCTCTCGGTCTTCTCTTCTCCTGACTAAACCCAATGTTTTTTAGTCTCTGCTCATCAGTCATGTTACATAGGACCTGCAGTCATTTTTGTTGTATTACTTTTTGGCTTCGGGGTTTTCGTTGAGAGGAGAAGAGGAAAGGCAGGTAAAGTTATGATTTCATCTAGGAAAAAATATCTAATATTTTCCCTCTCTTTAGAAGATCCAGTCTCTGGTGTATGGGAAAAGTCTTACTTTTTATCGGTCCTTTGTTTTCCTTGCTTAGCAACTGCTGAAATGAAAAGTTCATGAGTTCACTTAACTAAAAATGCTGTGCAGGAACCCATACACTAGCAGGGAAAATTTCCTATTATGGATCTTTTGGGGTGTTTTGAAACTAGAAGTTCAGGGAGCTCCAGAATTCTGAAGTGTGATTCAAAAATGTGAGAATAAGCTCTTTAAATATTTTCTTCTGATGAAATGGTCTGTTTTGGCCTCTGAAAGGATTATTTTACAAGTTTGTCCTGAGTTTGTACAAGTTTATAACTGTTTCCTGCTACTCTAGCTTGAAATGAAAAGAGCCACCAAACTTGGTTTAAAAGATTGTGAGATGGAAATGTTTGAGATTGCTCAGTTTTGATGAAATTTGATGCATTTTTCTGTACTAATGTTAGCTAACAAGTAATTGAATAGTCGAGTAGCCACCTGAATTCTTAGCGGTTATTCAGCTGGTCTATAGTTCCCGGGGGTGGAGGTTGGGGTAGCAGCCAGTGCAGTCCTGCCCCACTCCTGTGGAGCTAGCTCCCTGCCACCCCACGCTGCTGCCTCTGTATCAGGTGCCAGGTGGGAGCTGGTTTGTGAGGGGAGCCAATTTAAAAACCAGCTTCCTTTGTGGACTGGCTTCCTGTTACCTTGCGCTGCTGCCTCTGATACAAAGGCAGCAATGTGGGGTTTTAGGGAGCTCCCTGGGAGTGGGACCAGAGCTGATACAGAGGCAGCATTGCAGGGTGGCAGCAGCTCCTGTCCGCGGGGAGTCCAAGCGCACTGCGTACAGATGCTTCTTTGCAGCAGCAGCCCCTGACCGTGGGAGGTCCGAGTGCACCGCAGACAGGCTGCTTTGCCTCCCATGGAGCAGCCTCCAGGCTCACGGCGGACAGAAGCTGCTTCGCCTCCCACAGAGCAGCCTCCAGGCTCACCGCAGACAGAGCCTGCTTTGCAGCAGCCTCCCCTGGCCGCCCTGCACTGTTACCTCTGATAGAGACAGCAGCACAGCGGGGGGCTAGACGGTACCACGGAACCAATGCTGGGGGGATCCAGCTTTTAAGCCAGCTATCCCCAGCACCGGCTTCTGCTCTACCCACCCGTCTTGCTGCCTCTGATAGGCAGCAAGGGTGGGAAAATGAGAGTAGTCTGTTAGATTAACCGATAAGCCTAGGCACAGGGTTAATCGTATACTTGACTACTTATTTACATCCCTGTTTTTCCGATCCAACATTTACTTGGGCATCAAATGTGCAATAGTGTAATGAGAATGGGGGTTGAATGCTGGGTTATTTGGTAATGTTATTTTCAGTTTAAAATATTGAGGAAAGGGTTATGATTGTATGATCATCCTTGTATGAAAATAGCAGGGTCACCTTGTTCTTTGAAATTGATTTCACTAGCATTAAGAAATGCAATTTCCTTCAGCTCATCCGGAAAGCTGCAAACCATTCATTTTTACAGGTGTCCGTTGTGTCATAATTCCTTAGAAAATAGAGGAGGCGATGAAATTGCTGGATCTGTGAAAGCATTGTATTACGAGTTGTGGGTGTCTGCTAGGCAGCAGCCCTGGAAACATAACATATTGTTTGTGCTGCAATCAGGACTTTCTCATTTAAAATACAAGAATAAAATATATGATTGCCTAAGCTACAAATTTATAGCAAATACAAAATCATCACTATTTAATGTTTGTCAGAAAAATATCTGCATACTTTTCATTTTGGGGGGATCCAAAATCATACAGAGCTAAAATTGGAGGTGTTGGATGAAGGAATGTAATTGCACAGAATTAAATGATTTTGAAGGAATCAAAAGCTGCTGTGAAGTATATGTTGAGAAGCTGGAAGAAGTAGTAAATAAAAAGAGAGGAGTTACCCTTCTTTGATTTACACCTTCTCCCATCTTTGTCTGAATTGCATTTTCTGTTGCTTTTTTCTTCTTTTCCTTCAGTTTGTGAATTTTAGATGCCTCTTTTCCCCAGAATTTGTGACTAAGATGTGTTGATTAGATTTAAAAAAATTTGTTTTCAGAGGACATGGCTCTCTTGCAGTCATCGGTAGCACAATGTGTTTGTCTTCAGTTTAGCATTTGATGTTGATGGTCATTTTAGGCCTGAACTTATGATGTAACAACTTCCATGATACATTTGAAGCTTCTTAAGTGCTCTGATTGGATAGTGTAGCTCCTGGAAAGACCAGGGAGAAGGGTCACCGGGATGAGTACTGCAGAAATGCAGTTAGAAAGACTTTTAGTGCTTCATCATGAAGATCCATTTCAAAATAAAACAGCTCTGTGGGTTTTACAGTATAACTACCCATATCTTAAAACTACAGCAGTCCACCTTCTAACTCATCCCGTTAATGTCACTTAAGAACAGTTTTGGGAATGAAGGAAATGAAATAAGTGGTTTTGCATTTCTATTTCTCCCTAGAAAACCTGAAAAAGGAGTCCAGTACCTAATCGAGAGAGGTTTCGTGCCGGACACTCCTGTTGGCGTCGCCCATTTTCTCCTACAAAGGAAAGGACTCAGCAGGCAGATGATTGGAGAGTTTTTGGGCAATCGACAGAAGCAGTTCAACCGAGATGTATTGGAGTGAGTAGTGTGTGAGGGGATGGGATGGAGCATTAGATGGTCATGACCGTGCAGAGGAGGGACCCTGAACCAGAGCAAGTGGGGGCAGGGGCAGATGTCCATTTCGCGGGGCCCAGGGCGGCACAATTTCACGGGGCCCCCCTTTGCCACGACGCATGCGCGGGGCTTCTTGAAGCGTGGGGCCCGGGGCGGCCGCCCTGCTTGCCCTGCCCTATATCTGCCCCTGAGTGGGGGGGGGCCCTTCCCACCCTTTCTGCTTGCAGTGCTCTGCAGTCATGCTGGGGTAATAGATTTGAGGTGCAGGGGTTTCCCTCACCCGCATGGTGCTTCTGCTAGGGCATGAGGGTGCCTATTTGGTGAGGGCCCCTAGGCACAGGTCTTGTTGGCTGAGTGGGTAATTTGTTATTGGCCCTGAGGGACACTTAAAAGGGTTGATGCTCGCTGAATGTTTTATGTACGGAATGAAAGTGTTTTCAAATAAAACCCTTCCAGACTGTAAGGATTAACAAAGAACATGCAGAAATAAACACTCTTCCCTATCTTCCGCCAATGCTAATGTTTCTCAATCAAGCTGATCAAGTAGGATGCTTATAAGAATGTATATACACTATATGGCAATGCATATTTACTCTTAATGTATGTTATAATTTCACTGGGGAGGACTGTGTCTATTTATTTTGAGACCTTTTCCTTCCACAAGTTCTAAAATAATTTAATGTGTGAAATTTAAAAAAAGCAAACCATTATGTCCTACACAACTCTTCATCAGTAAAGGATCGTGAAAATAACCATTACTAGTTCATAGATATACACAGGCACTTCTTATCCTGGCGCTTGTCTAACAAGGACGTCTAACACTCATCTCTTGCAAAGGATTAGATAAAAACCCATTTCAAAAGGAAAGCAAAAGTGAAGTATTAAATTACACTTACCAACAGTTTGGTTAAGAGTATTCAAATACTGTCTGTTAAGGATGGAGGTTGGTTGCTTTTGTTGGTTTTAAGTGATTTGCTATTTCATTTAGCAGCGATTATTTTCAAGATCTTTATGGATGATGCCTTCACCAACAAAGCTTGTTATATCTTGGCTCAGATTTATTGTTTTGTGCACGTGACTTGCATGAAGAATTACTGTTTACTGCACAAAGAAACAGCTAGTTGTTTAGCTGCATTGGGCACATATGGGAGGGTTATACTTTTCCCAGATTAAAAAGGCAAAACAAAAATTGTAATCACACATTTTTGACCAAGACCACAGCAAAAATTGCTGAGATTGCATAGAAACAAATCTTTATTGAGAACTGGATGCCTTTCTTGGCTTTAGGGCAGATGGGGGCCCTAAAAAAAATGTAAAAGTTATTGGAAAATCACTTTCAGTCTGGTCAGCAAAGGCCTAATTCTGCCCCCGTAGAAAATCTCCTCGGGTATGTCTACACTGCAAAATTATTTTGAAATAACAGCTGTTATTTCGAAATAACTTTACTAGCGTCTACACAGCCAAACTGCTATTTCGAAATTAAATTGAAATAGCAGAGCGCTTATTTCGAATTTGGTAAACCTCATTCAATGAGGAATAACACCAAATTTGAAATAGCTAATTCAAAATAAGTGCTGTGTAGACACTTATTTCAAAATTGGCGGCCTCCAGCCTTCCCAGGTACCCTGGTGGCCACACTCGAGCCCTTAAAGGGGTTGACTCTGGCCATAGTGCCTGTGCCAGCTCCAAGCCTGCCAGTCCAGAGCCAGCAGTCACTGCCCATGACCCAGTGGCCCCAAAACAGGAGCCAGCAAACCACGGGCAGCCAGCCCTCCACCGCTCCCCAGGAGCAGTCTGCCAGCTCCCAGGAGCCTGCCAGGGCCCAGAGAAGGCGGGCGCCTTCTTGGTCCAGGGCGGAGATAATGGATCTTATTCTGGTTTAGGGGGGGTTCCCTCAATGTCCATGATTTCCACACTAGACAGAGGAACGCGGTTATCTATGGCAGGATAGCTGCCAGCCTGGCCACCAAAGGCCACATGCGAACCCAGGAGCAGGTTCTCATGAAAATGAAGTTGGTCCGGCGAGACCCCCAACCCTGAATCCTGAGCTTCCCCTCCCCCTTCTTTCCCTTGCTTCCCCCTTCCAGCTCCCTCCTCTTTGATTCCTCTCCCCAGTTTTGTTAAATAAAGAGAGTTTGTGTTCATGAAAATACATGTATTTTATTTGACATCAGGAAGGGGGGTTAGGGAGGGGTAAGTGGAAGGACATGAGGGAGGAGTGAGGCACAAGCCCCCAGTGAGGCAGACCAGGGAGGCTCTTAGTGCTCCTGAGGGTGGAAGCTCTCCCGCCGGGCCTCCTGGATCCTGACAACCCCCCAATGGACCTCCCGGATGGCCGCCTGCAGCAGGTGCAGCCAGGCTCGCAGCAACGTCTCCACGAAAAGCACCAGCGTGCCCATGGGCAGCTCTGGCTCCATGTTGCAGAGCGCTGTGGTGTCCCGAGTGAGGACAACCAGAGCACACACAGACAAAACTGCTTTGCTGTCCTTCATCAAGGTAGGCAAGCAAGCAGGGAAACCTGAGGACCGGCTCTCCAGGGAGTCGCAAGCAAGCAGGGAAACCTGAGAACCGGCTCTCTAGGGAGTGGGGGTCCCTTTAAGCACAGACCTCAGATATCCTCAGGCAGCAGTCACAGAAAGTAACTCCTGACCTTAAATGCGATTCCGAATCCACTCAGTGTGGACACGCTATTTCAAAATAGCAAAACACTATTTCAAAATGCATTTTGTGTGTAGATGCGTTATTTCAAAATAGCTAATTTCGAAATCAGATATTTTGAAATAACACTGTAGCGTAGACGTACCCCTCTTGATATTACTGGAGGTGGATAACTAATCTTGTGATGTTATCGCAGACCTCATGATAGTTGGTGTTTCTCTTAAAGCCAAGCCCTAGGAGCCATGTGATTAAATGAGAAACTTGGGTGTTAATTTTTTAAAAAATAAGTTTCTACACCTAATCACTATAGAGAAAATCCTGAACATCTGACCCCTTAAAGCCACAAAAACTAGAGAGCAAAAGGAAAGAACTCTGAAGTCATTTTTAATCTTTTTATTTTTAAGCTATTTCCTTAATTTTGGAGGGCAGAGTCATGAAACATGGAAATTAAATACATTATGGCAATGCACAATTTCAAGCACCCAAATGAAGGAAATGAAAATAAGGTTCCCACACCAACTTTTCACTAGGCCTTGTTTCAAATATATAATTTAATTTATATTTTTTACTGAATGTGCAGCTTGATCTGTGACTGTGTGTTGTATCTCAGCTGGGCAAGCTGAACAGTGTAGCAGAAAAGCTTATCTGCATTTATACCTATCTTTGCTTGGAGGGACCTTCTATCTAGAAACCAGCTGGTTCAAGAGTTGCATCTTTACTGCACAAACAGCAGGAGAAGCTAATTGAATGGGGACTGGGTTCTACACAAAGGTATGCAATGAATTGGAGTGACTAGTCCTGCTGCATGAAGCCTCAGAGAAGTGGCAGATTTCAGCTGAGCAGTTCATCCAG